GTTACGGCAGCGCTGGGCCGCGTCTCCGCCCACTGCAGCGCGACGTGTGCCGTGATTGGCTGGCTCGCACCAAAGCGTAACCTCCCATTGGCTGACGCGTTCGATTGACGGCTCAACCGGCCTTTCGCGTCGTGTTTGTGCATTCTACTATCACGGAAATCACGTATTTCACGTAATAGCAGTGTGTCTTCCGGTATTGTTTCACGGTAGCGTTTGATGGAATATGCCATATACGGTTTATATCCCAGATTCTTCCCGTTTTAAGCATGTTTTCAGCTAAATACGTTACAAATTGAAGAAAAGCCTTAATTTAAACGACGTGGAAATATGTTCAAAGAACATACACAATATAGACTATCTAACCATCTATTTATCCATCTACCCGTTTTTCTTTTATTTATTATTCAGAATTAAATTAAAATTTGAGGGGGGGGGGCGGGGGGGAACGTCTATGTGGTGCAAGATTTATTTGTTTCACAAAAAGGCCTTCAGGGTTTCTGAGCGACTCAAGCGCGTTATCCGTCTTATTTTTTTTAGCGTAGGGGTTATTTTTCTGAACAAAAACAGTCCATTATGCTGCTTAATATTGCAAAATTGTATTTAAAAAAATCAAACACACTGGTTTGTAGCGCAAAATGTTTTAGTTTAGTGCGCTATATTATTTAGCCCCGCCCCCTTTCAGTTGTCTTCGGTCATCCGGTTGTATTTCCACAGCGTAAAAGTAAGGCCTACTGATGTTTGTTATGACATCCGCTTGGAATATTACATGCACATGTTAAATATGGTTAGCTCTACAATAAGTAAATCCACTTAAATTTCTCTTCAACAGCTACGCCATAGAGCTAAGGCAAACCCGGAAGTTCAAAGACAATTTTAACGTTCATTCTAATAAAACTGCTTGCTTTTTATTCCAAAATAAAGTGGGCATGCGCACAGAGCGTTATATAATAAGAGAGCACACACAGGGTTTTATTTTATATAAAAGTTCAATACAGTTTATTGAAAAATATAGCACTCATCCCAGTGCAAGAAAATAGCTATGCACCAACCACTACATAAAATTGCTAAATACAAGTGCTAAAAATATACAATTTCAAATTTCAGAATATACAGCTCCAGTCTACTCAAATATTAGAAATAGTTTAGGTATAACTAAGGGAAAAAAAAAAGGTAATTATCTGCAGCCTTAGGCATTTTATTTAGCAAATTCTATAATAACTTTTACAACAAGCAAAAAACGTCAACGGCCGAAAAAGACGATACAATTAAATACTTCCTGAATGAGAAACTGTTGGGGTTTGTGCGGAAAACGGTTCAAGGATTTACCTCGAAAACCTTCAACAAGTCAAGGCAGAGCAGGAGCGCTTAAAACCGGTTCCGGGATCGACTTAAAACAGCACCTGAAATGCAGATCGCGGATTGGTTTTACGCGCATGACCACTGTTTGCATAACGGCAGAAGTTAGTGGAAAAATGACTCTCCATTTCTAAAGCACATACAGCAGTTAAACAGTGAAACAAATAAACGAAATGGAAAAAAAGAGGGATAATATCTTCAGAGCGTATTAATTTAGTCGCTTATCAAAATGGATGAGAAAAAAAAAATTTAAACGAACGTTGAGTTTTTACGTAAATTACTATTAGGTTAAAATTAATAATTTTTTTAATTTAGTTAGTTACCAATAAAGACAGTACGATAAAAGATTTAATAAAGCCAAAATGTAAAAAGTTTGTGCGCGCTAGTAAAGCTACAGCACCTTAAATTCACGGATTTAATAGCATTTGTACGAAGGCTTGTTAACGTCATAAATGACGAAAAACTGCTGGCCAAAAAAGTTGCTGAAAGATTAACGTTGCAAACATCTTTATAGTGCATAGCTAGTTTATTTAAATTTAGTTAACGATGGTACAGTAAAAACATTACTGCTACAGCACATTAAACTCATGGATGTCTAGGCTTGTTAACGACATAAAGGATGGAAAAACCTGTTGGGATATTAGTGTCGCAAAAATCGTATACAGTACACAGTTAGCTTGTTTAAATTTAGTTAGCGCTAATGATGGTACAGTAAAAACGTCAAATGCACAGATTAAAAACATTACTGCTACAGCACCTTAAACTCATGGATGTTAACATTCGTATGAAGGCTTGTTAACGACATAAAGGATGGAAAAACCTGTTGGGATATTAGTGTCGCAAAAATCGTATACAGTACACAGTTAGCTTGTTTAAATTTAGTTAGCGCTAATGATGGTACAGTAAAAACGTCAAATGCACAGATCATAATGCAACTGAATCATTTTAACAGGATTCTAGAGCTAGCGCTTGCACACGAAGCATCGTAATGTCAAATTACTGCTTGCGAAAAACCATTAGCCAACATTGTAACAGCGCATAGCTAGTTCATTTGAATTTAGCTAATGCTAACGATGGTACAGTAAAACTGTTACTGCTACGGCACTCAGATCTTAACATTTGTACGAAGGTTTGTTAACATCATAAATGCGAAAAAGTTGTTGGAATATTAGATAGCGATAATATAATAGTGCATAGCTAGTTCATCTACATTTAGTTAGCATCAACGGTGGTACAAACATCAAACGCACTGATCATAACGCAATGGGATCGTTTTAACTGGATTCTAGAGCCAGTGCTTTCAGACAAATCATCAATGACAAATTACTGCTTGTGAAAAATTAAACATCGTAATAGTGCATAGATAGTTCATTTAAATGTAGTTAACGCTAACAATTGTAAAAACGCTACTGCTACAGCACCATTCTAAATAGCATTCGTACGAAAGCTTGTTAACATCAAATGGCAAAAAAAAACTTGATTTGATATTAGCGTCCGTTAAATTTAGTTAGTTCTAACGATGGTACAATAAAAATGTCAAACGCACTTATGAAGCAACGGGATCGTTTTAACGGGATTCTAGAGCCAGCGTTTTCGTACAAATCATCGTAATGACAAATTGCTGCAAAAAATGATTAATGAACATTGTAATTGTGCATAGCTATGGTTCATTGTGCTGGTGTAGGGTACAAGGAGGCAATGATACGTCACTTGAAGTGGCTATAGCTAAAACACCACTATTATCACTTTACTCGTAAATACGAAGATCACAATTCGTAAGAAATAACTACAGCGTATAGAAGTCGAGTGGCTAGATAGAGGCAGGTCACCAAACAGGGCCAAATCAAGTAGCGGTGTTCAATCAAGGCAGAGCTTTCAATCAATCCTACAACCTGATGCATTTGTTAAATATATTAAAAAATGAAATCCATGTTTCGTTCGTGGAACTCTGTCGCGCCGCGTCGCCGTGACGACAGCATCAGTGTCAACACCGGCCGCTGCTGTATCCGGGGAAGAGCTGGGTGAGAATGGCTTGGAGAGGTTTGTTCACCGTCATTTCGTAGTTTTTGCCCAGATCGTGTCGGCAAGCCGGACATGTGTAGACCTCGGCTTTGAAAGACCGCTGAAGGCATTCCTGCATAGAGAAGAAAATCGTTTATGTCATAAACGTACAAACTAGCGCATATGTAATGATGATCTGAAACCCTCAAGTGTTGCCATAAACCCTAAAAGCAGGCATATTTATATTGCTGCTAATGCGATATTGTGATAGAAGTACAACATCAAGCTAATTTTCAGTTTTTATACATTTCAGAGATCGCACTCACACACACACACAAAAAACCTTTACATCTCAGCACAATTTGGGAAAAAATGTCTTCAAATGGCTTTTTCATGAATTTAAAATTTATTTCTATTACTTTTTCCAGGCCTGGGAGGGAGTGATCAAAGTATAATTAATGAATAAACAGATAAAAATAAATAACATGCATGAAAAGTATAATTAAAATATTAAAATATAAAATAGTACATTAAAACAAAAGAATAATTAAGATAAATAAAAATAAATACATATTAAAAGAGTATAAAAAATAACTTATTTTAAAATAATTATATATTTATGTATAACTAAAATATAAAGTACAATTAAAATAACTACAAGTATAATTAAAATAAAATACAAAATTAAGTTTTATTAAAATACTATAAATAAAAAGTAATTGAAATGGAGCATAATTACATGATATATAATAAATAGCTAAAATATAATTTTACTAAAGAATAATTACAAACAAGTATAATCAAAATAAATCAAAATAAATAAGATGAAGTATAATTAAAAAATATATAAAAAAGCAGAATTAAAATAACTAAACTACATATTAAATTATATGTGAAAAAATTATAATTAAAAATAAGTAACTAAAATACAACTTTAAAGCATAATTAAAATTACTAACAAAAGTACGATTAAAATAAAGAGCTAAAATACAAAGTATAATTCAATTTAAAACAAAATAAATAACTATAACAATTAAAATTATGAAATAATTAAGAATGCACATAAAAATTTAAATTAAAATAACCAAAAAAAAAAAAAGGTAACTAAAATACATATAAAAAGTTTAATTAAAAATGTATTTATTTGTGACCCTGGAGCACAAAAGCAGTGTTAAGTCGCTGGGGTATATTTGTAGCAATAGCCAACAATACATTGTATGGGTCAAAATTATCGATTTTTCTTTTAAGCCAAAAATCATTAGGATATTAAGTAAAGATCATGTTCCATGAAGATATTTTGTAAATTTCCTACCGTAAATATATCAAAACTTAATTTTTGTTTAGTAATATGCATTGCTAAGAACTTCATTTGGACAACTTTAAAGATGATTTTCTCAATATTTAGAGTTTTTGTTTGCACCCTCAGATTCCAGATTTTCAAATAGTTGTATCTCAGCCAAATATTGTCCGACCCTAACAAACCATACACCAATGGAAAGCTTATTTATTCAGCTTTCAGAAGATGTATACATCTCAATTTCGAAAAATTGACCCTTATGACTGGTTTTGTGCTCCAGGGTCACATTTAGAATTTAGAATTTCAAGGTCCATCACATGCATTCACAGGAAAATTGAATAGCTTTCTATTGTCCACTCTAAAGTGCGTTGCTGCTGTATAACATGAGTGTGTGTCTGTGGTTGTGGTCTCTTACCCTGCAGACGTTGTGTTGGCATTCTGTGGTGATGGGCTGATAGACGACTTCTTGGCAGCAGATGCACAAGAAAACCTCCTCCACTTTGTTGATGAAGCGCTACAAGTGCGACACGAACACATTAAACCGACAATATCCTCAGAGCACCTTAATTACAAGACACATTAAAGACGCTGGTCTGTACGTACAGGTCCGAGGTTGAGAGACTCCATGGCTTCGTCCCACAGCTTCTTGTTGAGCTCGTCGTCCTTGATCAAGGCCTTCTGCTCTTTGCTCAGTTTGTAGGCCTCCACTTTCATCTTCTTAGGCGTGCTTTTGGCCGGAGAGCTCTTCTCGTCCACTACGATTGAGAAAAGCGAGGATTGTTATGACTGATCATCAGGTTTGGTCTTTATTAAACCAAGACGTTTTCACCTACCGGTCTGGGATTTCCTCTTCCTCTTGCCTTTAGTGGGCGTTTCATCAACGTCTTCGTCGTTTTTGTTCTCTTTCTCCTTTTCTTTCGCAGCCACGGCTTCCAGATAACCTTCAGGATACTGAAGCACAGGGGAATGAGGATTAACGGGCGAACCTCATGAAGAAATAACTATTTTGTGCGAAATGCGAGTGAAATCTGGTAGACTTTACCTGCATGGTGAGCCCCAGTTTCTTAATGCGCTCTTTTCCTTCGCGGGTCCACGGCGCCGGTTCATCGTCGTTTCGTTTCAGCAAGTATCTCCAAACGAGGAAGCCGGACTTGCCCTTCTCCGGCCAGTACTTCACCACCTAATAAACAGCGATTAATTAAGGGGTTCTGCAGGCATATTTAAGACTTTAAAGACCCATTTAAGACCAATTAACGAAAATAAGGAATAAGTTACAGAAAACAATGCATCATGTTGTCCAAATGAGAAAAACTTCCAACTTATTTTAGTATCACTGAGACACTATTATAGATTATTTCAGTTTTGAATCAGTTTTTATTTGTTAATCATCAATTTTAATTTTAGTTTTAGTAAAAAAAAAAGGATCAGTTTCCTTAGTTTTTTGTCTACATAGTTTATCAATTTTTATTTCTTGAATTATTTTATTTTTCTTATATTATTTTTTTTTTTTGTAATATAATTAAAATAATTAAATCAGTAAAATCAGTTTCCTTAGTTTTTTGTCTACATAGTTTATCAATTTTTATTTCTTGAATTATTTTATTTTTCTTATATTTATTTTTTTTTTTGTAATATAATTAAAATAATTAAATCAGTAAAAAGCGCAAAATAAAACGTATAATTAAAATAAACTTAATACATAAAAATAACTAGAATACATATATGTATAATTTGAATAAAATAAAAATGATAATTAAAATTAAGCATGATTGAAAGAGTTTATTAATTTTTATTTCTTGAATTATTTTATTTTTCTTATATTTAAGCTATTTTAGTAATATAATTAAAATACTTAAATCCGTAAAAAGCGCAAAATAAAATGTATAATTAAAATAAACGTAATACATTACAATAACCAAAATACATATATGTATAATTTGTTAAAATTATAATTAAAATTAAGCATGATTGAAAGAGTATAATTACACTTTTAGAAAATATATAATATATAACAAATACAGTTCTACTAAAACTATAATTTAAAAAACTATGTATAATTAAAATAAAAACTAAACTACATTAAAAGTATCATTAAAATAATTAAATTAAACAAATAAAATACAAATAACTATAACAATTAAATGCATATAAAAAATAAATGGGGTATAATAAAAAACAAACAAAAAAAATAAATAAAAACAACTAAAATAAATATAGAAAGTATAATTCAAATTTATCAGTAAGCTTCAATTGCAAGGTCCATCACATGCATTCACAGGAAATGTAATAACTTTCTACTGTTCACTTATATTAGGACTGGAAAACAAGACAAAAATATGGAGGAAGATATAGATTTTTTGCAGTGCAATGCAAAATTTAATGCCATGACTTTATAAATTTTAAAACTTCCTGCTCTGATTTAAGACCTTTTGACGTCTTTAATCTGTGGAAGTGTGAATTAAGACTTTAAGGGTGGGTTGCACCAACAAGGATTAAGCTTTAATCTAGATTAAATCAAGGTTTATCTAATAATTCCGTTGCACCAAACTTTAAACCTTGTTTAAAAATAAGCAGGATTACATTTAAATATATTTCCAGGATTATGAAATCCGTATGAACTGCCAGAAATGCATTCATTGCTTGCTTGATCAGCCGTTTGAGTAACGATAGCAGTTTATTAAGACGGCAGATATTTTACAAGTTTATTTCCTTTTTTGACACGAGCAACTTTTTATGTCAGAAAGAGAGTTTGGTAGTAAGCAAAGAAAAATTAGGAATATTAGCATTGTTCCTGTTTAATTGCAATGGCGAAATCCATCATGGCGGAGAAAATTAATCGTAGATGGAGGTTTTAATCGCAGGTTAAAGTTCTAATCCCTGATTTGTTAATCTGTGTTTAAAATTAAGTGGTGCAACGCAACTCGATTTAAAATAAAACCGAGATCAACAAATCCTTGATTAGCTCTAAACTTTACTTAAATTAATCCCTGTTGGTGCAACCCACCCTAAAGCTTATAAAGTGAATGTTTTTATACAATATAAAAGATATAATTCAGTTAAAGTGTGCTTTATTTTAATACATTATAACTCATATTTCCTTGTTTTCTTTGGTTCAGTTTACATTACTGTAATAAAAAAAAATATTAATAACCAATTTTGAATAATGAACTTTGATACAATATTAAAGCTATAATTCAATTAATTGTGTTAGTTATTAAATGTTAAAACCTTGTTTTGTATGGTTCAGTGTACAATAATTATCAGTATTATAATTAATAATACATATTTTATATTACATCTCTATCTGAATACTGGTTTATCATCGTGTCATGTAAGTTTTACGATTGTTGTCTTGAACGCGCAGCGCTGCGTTTCGGACCTGTTCATGTTGGTGAGCTTCTGATCGCAGGACTGCTCGGCCGTCCTCTTGTTTCCTGAGAGGTCGCGACCCCCGGAGCCCGTGTAGGTGAACTCATTACCATCGTCCTGATAAAGACAGAGTCACAGGTTAACAGAGGAAGGGAAAGACTTCTCAAAGGATGGTTTGGGGCCAGGGGTGTGCGATATTGACAAAAAATAATATCTCGATATTTTC